GGCTGGGGAAGGGGCTGGCAGGGCAGGGTGCTGGCGGCACCCTCACCTCCAGCAGTCTGCTGGGGTTTGTTTCTTCCTTGCCCAAGGAGGCCCCTCTGCCACCCTCACATGCCCTCGAGATGGGGTGGCAGGAGACTTCGGGTCCTCTCCCCAGCCACTGCCTTCGCCTGTGCTAATTAGGAGCATCATTAAAAGGGCTGAAAGATGGGGTTGAGAGAGGAGCCAGCCTCCTCCAGAGCCAGGACATCGGCTGGGGCACCCCTGGGGGGCTGGGGCAGTTACAGCCTTACTCACCCCAAAAGCATCCTCCCCCCATCTCAGTCCCTGTCCCTGAGGGACGAGGATGCAGCCCAGGGTACTGTGCTGGGTCCCTGGGGTGCCAGCAGGAGGGGCAACAGCCAGGTGACCCGTGGCCCCCAGGGGACAGGAGCCAGCTTGGGGGATGAGTATGAGCCCTGTGACTCTGCAGGGGCACAGCAGCTCTAAAGGGCACAGGAGGGACCCGTGGGGCAGGGGAGCACCCAGCTCCTTCAGCCCCACAGCCTGTGCCCAGCTCACCCTGCAGTGGGGGCCACCTCTGGGTGCCCCCCTCCCTGAGGGGATTGCTACTTGCTGGCCGTCTGGGCTGGAGCAGACCCTGTGGGTGCAGCTGCTGGGATGGTGGCAGAAGCAAAGGGTTAAACGGTGCTTGGTGTGCTGAGCCCAGAGGTGCCTCTGCTCCACATCCCCCATGTTTGATTTGCACCCTGCTGAGAGCAGCCAGCGAGGCAGGGGGCCCTCCCCTGCTGCGGACCAGGGGGTCCTGGTGCCCCACAAGCGACGGTGCCAAGGGGTCCTGGTGCCCCACTGGTGACAGTACCAAGAGGCCAGGCCAAAGCTGGTGGGATATGCCTCATGGTAGAGCCTGGGGCGTGTAAAGGTGCCTTGTCCCTAAATCCTGGGGTCTGGAGAGAGCATGGGGCTGGGGTGGGCAGCCCAGGTCCCGCTTTGCTCTCACTGGCTCCGACGTGGGCCGGAGCAGCCCAGAGGAGGCAGGAGCCCAGCAGCGGGGACTTCTCCCGCTCCCTCGTGGTCCCTTTGGGGCCTGAGGGTCCTGGGCAGGGCACAGGGAGACGGCTCTTGCACCCCAGCAGCCATGCAGGGGTAGCAGCGGGGGGTCTGAGGCACTCCACAGCCCTGCCAGCCTGGGGTCTGCCCCCCAGCAGGGCCTGGCCCCTAACCTTGGCTGGGTTTCTCTCTCCTGCAGAGCCAACACCATGAACCAGCTGATCCTTTGCACGCTGCTTCTCTTGGCCCCCCGGGAGCTGGCTGGGGCATGTCCCGCAGGCTGCCAGTGCCAAGACCCCAAGACCATCCTGTGCGCAGCCAGACGGGGCCAGACCGTGCCCCGGGGGCTGCCCCCCAACACCCTCTCCCTCTACGTCTTTGAGAATGGCATCACGATGCTCAGCGAGGACAGCTTTGCGGGCCTTCCCGCCCTCCAGCTCTTGGACCTCTCACAAAACAAGATCACCAGCATCCAGAAAAACATCTTCCAGCCCCTGACAGAGCTTGTCAACTTGGACCTGTCCTCCAACCAGCTGCAGGAGATCACCAATGAGACCTTCCATGGGCTGCGGCTGTTGGAGCGGCTCTACCTGCAGAGGAACAGGATCCAGCACATCCACGCTGCTGCTTTCGACACGCTGGAGAACCTGCTGGAGCTGAAGCTGCAGAACAACCAGCTCTGGGCCGTGCCCCCCCTCGACCTTCCCAACCTCCTGCTGCTGGACATCAGCTGGAACAAGATCCCCACCATTGCACCAGGGGCCTTCCATGCTGTCAACATTGAGTCTCTCAAGATCGCGGGGCTGGGCCTGACGAGCTTAAGCGAGGAGCTCTTCCAGGCCCAGAACAATCTCCACGAGCTGGACGTCTCCGACAACCTGCTGGAGCGCGTCCCGGCAGTGCTGCAGCGGCTGGGAAGCCTCACCAAGCTCAGCCTGGCTGGCAACGCCCGCATCGCCCAGCTGCCCGCGGAGGACTTCCACAACCTTCACAACCTCCAGGAGCTGGACATCAGCAACCTCAACATCAACACCATCCCTCGGGATTTCTCCAGCTTCTTCCCCAGGCTGCGGGCCCTGACTGCTGCCGGCAATCCCTTCAACTGCATCTGCCAGATGAGCTGGCTGGTGCAGTGGGTGAACACCAGCTGCGTGGTCCTCCGGCGGCCCGAGGAGACGCGCTGCC